CAGGATCAGGTCCTTAATGAAAATGCTGACATACGTAGAGAGAAACCTTTCATCGCCACTTCCCAGCCCTGTGCTCACCACCCAGAGCACACGGCCTTCAGATACAGATCAGGATCTGAACTGTCCCACGGCTCAGGGTGGTTCTGATCTGCACAGCTGCGGTATCGTAACAGGCACAACTGGGAGAGGGCCAAAGCTGGACAGCCTTTAGTGCTTTCACATGCTAGCTTTAAGGCATGCACCATTTCCTCCTTTCCTGCAGCATGTCAGCTGCCCTTCAAGGCAGATCCATGTGGAGAAGGGTTCCATCTTGAATTCAGCCGTTTGGGGGACTTCGCGTCCCCCCTTCCCCCCAATATGCATTGACTGAATTTTGTCACCATCCAATATCCAGACATTAGAGCGCAGCAAATTTCATGCACATTGGAAAGGCATGAAGAGGTAACAGAGAAATGAGCTAACGCATAGCTCTGTTAACAGAAAAATACCCTGTAGGTCCTGCACAGAGGCTACTAACTCATTTCACACCAGGACACCAACCAGCCATCGGTGGTAACGCTTCCACTTCTAGGGTTATAGGAATTGCTGTATCGGATCAGACTGGTCACTCATTCTAGTCCAACATCCTGACTCTCATAATGGCCAGTACCAGCAGCTTAAGAGGAAAGTACAAGACACTCTTCAGTGGACAATTATGTAATAACCAGTCCATAGCGAAAGTTTGTCGTCTGCTCATGCAGGCTTATACTCCACAGCATGAGGGTTTATATCCCTTGTTTCTTTCCCCCTAACTGTGAATATAAGTGTCTTCATGACAGAGCAGGGCTGGATTTAATTTAGGGATGAAAGACCATGTAACCACCCAATCCCGGAAATGTATTTGTTTTGTTTGTGAGTTCAGGCTTCAGAAGAAATCAAACTCTGTGATGGGGAAGAGTGTGCTTATCTGAGAAGTCCAAGGAAAACCATTGTCAACACTCTGCTGGTAAGAACAACATGCAACCTTCTCCAGTAGCTACCAGAGTGCCTCAGCATTTAGCAGAGGAGGCAAAAGTGGGGGCAGTAGTGAACGATCCGGTATTGTCAATGATTAGAAGTATTTTCTATCTCTAATGCCAAGGCTTTTAAAGACAAACAACAAACACAGCTGTCTGCCCAAAAGAACGTAAAGATCTAGCAAGATGCTGGGCATCTCCTATGAAAAGTTCAGAATCATGGCCAGGACACGTGTCCGGATAGGAAGAGCTCAAGAGATAAAACGTCCAGGTTATTGAAGTTCTTACATTGCTCCTGTCACGGGGGTATCTGCATGTGGCCTCTGTTGTTTCCTTAATAGACATATAATAATAATGAATTTTTAGGGAGCACAGTCAGGCAAGAGGGGTAGGTGAGTGGTAGAAAGTTAATTGGAAGACGCAAGCCTTGAAAGGAGGGATTTGAAGGAATAATGAAAGTCAGGGAAGATAAGCCAGACATAATGGGTGGAGTGCCCACTTAGAGAGAGAAACATTCAGCATTTAAAAGACTGGGAAAAATTATTATTTGTACTGCAGTGGCACGTACAGGCCCCAACTGTGGATCACAACTCCACTGTGCTAGATGCTGAACAAATGGTCTGAGATCAATCAAATGCGATTAAATGGAGAATCAGGCCTAATAAAGTGTGGGATTTTTAAAAAAAACTTATTTGTTGCCAAACAGGCTGACCTGCTGGCGAGACAACTACAGAAGAAGAAGTGAGCCTTTCCACAGACTCTTTCCGAAATGCTTGCCAGTCCCACTGGCTTTTCAGTCACTTCCTTTGCAACATGATGGTGTGTCTATAGATTCCATGTATCTGACCGTTAAAGAATTCTTATGAACATCTTGGCTGACTGCACTCGAATGCTGGGAACGTGGATAGTGGTGTAATGCTTGAGAAATGCCCCTGACCCATCACCCAACCAGAACGAGGCCCTGTTTGGAGTTCTTTACGCACTTGTGTAACTCCACCATGTTGAATAAAATACTTTATTTTGTTACATACACAATTCCATCCACATTTATGTCCTTACCCATGTCTTAAAAAAATAAAAATAAACAAATCTCCAGCCCCATAAACCAGTTTTAAGCACGCACTGATTTTTGAACAAGAGTTGGGTCATAAGGCCTTTTATTGGTAATTCCTGGCCCTCCTTGCACTGCTTTCTGGGTAGTTCAGCCTTCTGGCTGAGTGCTGGAATATTCTGCCAAACTTGATTCACGTCCTATGTACGGCCCTTTATTCACAGAGATACAAATATCAGGGGTACATGTAACCTTGGAAAGGTTTGGTGGTGGTAGTTTTTTTCACAAAAGGCAACATTCTCACATTCATATTAAGAAAATAAGAAAGAGCAATGGTAAGGTTCTTGGGAAGATAACAAAAGGAAACGTGATCTAGTGGTTAGAGTGCTAGGCTGGGACTTGGGAGACCTAGGTTAAAGCACTTCCTGTGTGACCTTGGACAAGTCACTTAGTCTCTCTGTGACTCAGTTTCCTCTCTGTACAAATAATAGCACTTCCCTATTCGGGTGTTGTGAGGCTAAATACATTAGAGATTGTGAAGATACTGTGGTAATGGGGTTCATATACATACCTAAGACAGCCCAAAGAGGGTATCTTTTGTCTGTAGCAGGCTACATCTGCCATGAATTGGTAGCTGTTTCTGCAGCAGTGAAGTAATGTCATTAAAGGTGCAGTGCACAGAACCAAAGTCATAATAGATGTAAGGAGCAGGTAGGTATGAATTCTTCCACCCAAAACCAAATGTGAATAAATCCACTGTCAATCAACATGTACACAGAGTTTAAATACATACCGAGAGTTTCACTCACTGACAACTTCTCTGTTTTGCTATCTGTTCTATGTGGCAGTCAGTTACACTGAAATGAATATGAATTAGTGATCAAATATGATTTATTCTAAATCAGCTGGGAATCTCAATCTCTATACTGATTGCTTTAAGAATAAAAAACAGTTGGTAATGAAGGATTGTTTTAATTTGCTGCTCATGTGAAAAATGTGTCAATTAAAATGAGGCAAAAATTCTTGGAACTAGATTTCAACATTTCTGAGAAATAACACTCTCATATTTCCAAGCCAGTTTATATAGCACCTTGCATCCACACAGATTCCCCCAAACAACTTACAAACTTAGAGCCATATTCTTCTCTCAACTGCATCACTATAAAACCAGGGTAACTCCAGTGACTTTGAGGGGAGGGGCAAATGGTGGGGGTGTACTCTGGATTCAAGCCCGTGTAACTGAGATCAGAATTTGGCTTTCTATTAGTTGAGTGTAAACTGGGGCCTGTATTCTGCCCTGATTTATACCGTGTTCAAGTCCACTGAAAACAACTGGCCTAATTTTCCTTTTATTGATATAAATCAGAAGTAACTCTACAGAAGGCAATGGCGTTATGCCAGTATAAAATGGGTGGAAATAGGATCAGACTTACTAATTCCAATGATCTTGCAGGAGGAGGGAATCCATAGTTATAGGTATTTAGAAATTGCCAGACTGGATCAGACCTAGGGTCCAGCTAGTGTCCAGTATTTTGTCTCTGACAGTGGCAAGACACGTGTAAGAATCGTGGAGTAGCAGATATGGGATAATCTACTTCCCACATTAGGTCTCCTAGTTAGAGCTCGGCTTAAACCCTGAATCACGAGGTATAAGATCCCTTCCACAATTTTTTGCATTAATTATGATAATTCCAGATCTTCTTCTTCATATAAATGTCAAAACCTTTTTTGAATCTTGCTGAATTCTTGGCCACCACAAATTCCTGTGGCAATGAGTTCCACAGCCTAAACACACATTATGTGCAAAAGTATTTCCTTTTATCAACAATGAATTGCCCTCCTCTCAGTGACTGTCCCCTTGTTCTTGCATTAAAATTACTCAGGGAGGACAGAAGCTCCTGAGCTGTACTCGCTATAGTATTCAATATTTAATATACTGTTATCATGTTCATTGCCTTTCTATGGTAACAATCCCAGTCTTTTCAATCTCACTTCACAGGAGCTTTTTTTACGCTCTTTGATAATTTTCATCACTGAACTCTATTTAATTTGTCTCTTCTCTGAACCCCTTCCATTTCTGCAATCTCTTTTCTGAGATGGGGTAATCAGTACTGCACGCAGCCTCCAGAGAAGGCTGTATGAATGATTTATATAACAGCATTATAATATTCTCTGTATTGTATAAAGGTTCTTATGCCATCCTCATAACTGTAGTATCTGAGCACCTTCAGCAGTCTAAGTTATGTGACTACCCCTCTGTCACATGTGGTTTGTTCTTTCTCTCCTCCTCTCCCCAGGGGGTGATGTGTGTTAGCACTGGAGTGTTTTGGTTTGGTAGGGTTTTGTGTGTTTATTTGGCCAATAGGAGCTGTGGAGCCAGCACTCAGGGCATCGCCTGCGGACGGGACAGGCTGCAGAGCCCCCCTGACTGCCCCTCAATCTAGGAGCCAGAGGGACATGCTGGCCGCTTCCCAGGAGCCACGCGGAGCTAGGCATGGAGACTGCCTGCCCCGCTGGCACTGCGGCCAACTGGACTTTTAGCAGCCCAGTCAGCTGTGCTGACTGGAGCCGCCAGCGTCCCTTTTCAACCAGGTGTTCTACTCGAAAACCAGACGCCTGACAACCCCATTCATCTCCTGCAGAGAGACACTTTATCCTGCTTGCAGAGTGCTCTGGTGTGTCAGAGGTGCAGTGCTACCAACCACTGGGCTTTAAGCTCTTTTTGTACCCGGGGCCTGAACCCAAGCCCTGGAGCACCTAGACCAGGGGTTCTCAACCTATTTATCATTGTGGGCTGCACATACAGCGCTCTATGTGGGACGCATCCACACAATATAGATACTTACCTATACATCTACAAAAATAATACAGTTTAGTATTATGACAGCAATACGATTAAAATCGACGTCGTACCTTTCATTTCATTGCAAATGTCTACAAAGAGCATTTTAAATTAGCAAAAAAAGTATTAAAATTAATTCATTTACTGCAACGGTGGCATAGCAACGTGTATTGCCACCTTCACTTCCCCACTGCTGCCAACAGCAACATGGCTGAGTGCCTAGAGAGCATGGCTGTGGAGCGTGCCTGCAAAGATGGGGAGCTCTGCCCAGTGTGGGGTGCCCCCTCAGCCAGAGACTGTCCCCCATGCACCCAGCCCCGCCACTCAGGGACTGCCCTCCAGCTCCTCCCCAGACAGGGACTGTCCCGCCAGCATCCAGACCTCACAACAGTGGGCTGGCACATGCGCCTGCCCTGCAGATACAGGGTGCCCTGTCTAGGGCAGAAGGGGCTGTCCAGGGGAGAACGGCTCCTCTAGGAACTGCCCCCTAGCACCTCCCAGCAACTGCCCCCAACACCCAGTCCCCACAAGGACAGGTCCCCCCCCCAGCACTCAATCCTCCCATCCAGGGACTGTGCCCCAGTATCTAGCCCCCCACACAGGGACTGCCACCAGTTCTTCTACCTAGAGTCTGTCCCCAATGCACAGGCTGCACCCCGTCCCTGTAGTCCTAGCTCCCTGAACCCACCTCCCCATGCCCGCTGGTCTCCTACTGTGACTGCAGGTAGCTCTGCCTTGCAGATTGCCTGTCGCTGCCGTCCAGTGCCAGGGAGCCTGCTCTAGCCAGGGTCACTGGACCCGCGATCCTGTAGGGCAGGGGGGCGCTGAGCACCCTGGCCTCCTGCCGATGCTGCTGGGCCTGATCCTGACAGAGGAGCTGATGCTGGTGGGCCTAATCCTGCATCACCCCATTTTTGTACAAACACAAACCATGCTGGCTCTGCACCCAGGACAGGTGCCCCTCCTGCCCTAGTTACGGCCCTGAGGATGTCACATGGGCCGCAGCTGTGCTGTTTGGGCCACCGCTGGCCTGCGGGCCGAGACCCACTGACCTAGACGATTAGGCCCAAGCCCGTGAGCAGGGCTGGCTATTCCGTGGGGAGCCAGGGTAGGGCGGAGGCCAGGCCTGGTGTGCTTGTGGCAGCAGGTGTGGCTGAGGCGATGCACTGCAGCATCCCGCCCTGTGTTGGGCACCGGTCCCATCCTTTGCCGCTCTTGCCGGCCTCGCTTTTCCCACCGCCATTTTGTGCAGCTTCTCTCCGAGGAGCAACGGTCACCTGCCCTGAGCAGTGGGGCAGGCCTGGGGGGCGGCAGGAGCCTGGCCCTAAGTGGTGGGCTGGGCCGGGCCAGGGGCGGTGGGGCAGCCTTGGGGGGCGGCAGGAGCCTGGCCCTATGTGGGGGGCTGGGCCGGGCCAGGGGCGGTGGGGCAGCCCTAGGGGGCGGCAGGAGCCCGGCCCTATGTGGGGGGCTGGGCCGGGCCAGGGGCGGTGGGGCAGCCCTAGGGGGCGGCAGGAGCCC